GATTCTCTGAGCTCTCTGGCCTAATGCTTCCATGGCTTTGCTGCCTTAGCTGCTTACTGCTACCGTATATTGCTGAAAATGACTCTTCAGTCCTGTCTCATAGGTGGGTCATGGGAAAAAGAGGATGCTGTTGGACAAAGCAAAAATAAATGTGCCTGTGTGTAAGATACCAGGCTGACTTAAATTCAGGTGCTTCCATAGAAATGCATATTTTTGATTCTGTTTTTTTTTCCACAGTTATCCTGAGTGTGTGCATGCATCTATACTCTGTAATTACAACTGCAACCAATAACTATTGGATGATGAATTTCAAACAGTGACTACCTGATTGTTGCGTTGCTACTGTGTGATATGTATTGCTTTGTAATCTGCTCAACACTGATGTGCTATCATCTGCGGAGAGACAACGGTTTTCACGGTTCTTATTTTAGACATAGGCTGTCATCTTGGGTGAAGGGGAAAAAAAATCCATCCAGGGATTATTTTGGAATAGGCTGAGTACAGCTCAACCAATATGTCCATCTGGTGGTAGACAAACACTCAAAGCAGCTGAGGTGATATAAATCGACAGACTGATGTAAGTAACCACTGGTTAGTTCAGTTAGAGAGGATGAGATGGTGGGTAGTGATGTTGCATTTTCCCTTCAAATCACAGATTTTATGATGAAGTCTTTAAACATGCCAGAAGAACGAAATAATATCTAGGAATGTCAACACTATATGTAATAATAGGGATAAAGGGATACATTTCCCACCAGGGTTCAATAAAGTATCAAATATTTCTGACACTCAATTAAAAACATAATGTTTAAAGAAATCAATGAAAGCAAAGCAATTAGCTGAAACAACAGTACAAAGATTTACAGAAGAGAATTATATTCTGTGATCATGGACGAATGTCTTAAAGACCAAGACAGCAGGAGGGCCTGCTGGTTAGCGAGAACATCTTGTAACTGAAAGGCTGCATATTCAGTGTAAAACACATTTTCCATCCTTGTCAAGTGTCATTTCCTAGTGCTTCTACACAGCAGCAGGGCAATACTGTTAACATGTGTGGCATCATCCGCTGTGGTCTGAGTGTTTGTCATCTCAGGTCTGACTTTAATGAATGTTGGGCTTTTCAGCCTGGTTTTCATCATCTTTCTTTTGGACAGTGTCAAATGCTTCGCTCTGAGTCATCATTCACACATGCACACACACACATTCACACACCAAGGACAGGGACTAAGGGGTTGAGAAGAGAAAGATAAAAAAGATGAGACAGAGGAGGAGGAATAAATGCTGGGAGAACATGTTGCCCAGGAGCACATGTTGTTGCTGTGCAAAGCATGCATCCATCCTGCTTTCTATGCCCTGGCAAACCAAACATGCTTCAACAATGCCATCTAGTGACTTTTTACAAGGTTACAGCCTGTTTCCTCCTCACATGCTCACAAACCTACCTTGTCCAAATGCTAGACATACCATAATATGTGCTTAAATGTGACAGGGTTAAAGAGAATGGGATGGGTCTGACTGCACAGCACGGGGATTAAAACACCTCAACAAATGAAATGATAAAAATAAATAATATACATATATAAAAAAGGCAATCTTACTGTTTAACGGCCTACACAACAATCTGGCTAGGTTGTTAAAGGAAAGAGGAGGTGTGAGAAAACAGGGACATCAGGACTGACCAAATGGGCACATCACCTCTTATCACACCTTTCAGCTCAAACTGTACAATTCTCATTTCAAGATATGATGATTAACAATTACATAAAGGATGTCAACTTCTTTTTACATACAATACGTAAATATGTCACAGAATGGATTCAATGCAATCTAATCTCAGCAAAACAGATTTTTGCCTCATTTGCACTGTGTGAAATTTTGACGACAAAATGGCAGACTGAAAGGAAAGTGTCACATTGATCCCGCTGTTTAAAAATGTGTAACTTTAATGATAAGTTCTTGTGAGTCAAGGAAATGACCCTTCCGGGTTTGAACAGAAGAACGAGGAGCGAGGCGGTGTGACGCATGAAGGTTAACCCATTTTCCACACTGGAATTGATATGAAAATTGCCTCCAGGGTTAATCAACTGGATGGAGTAGAACAGAATAGAGGTGAAGGAAATTAAGGTGACTTGAACTGATTCAAAGACATTAAAAATCCAAATATATCTGCCACAATACAAATGTGTATCTATTACACTACACAACCTTTTCATAAGAATTGCTAGGTTTGTAACACTTTGACAACCGTAAACCCTCAGACCCCCTGTCAAATGACTACTTGTCTCTAATATATATATATATATATTATATTTATATGTAT